TCCCTTTCGCAAAGGAGAAACATAATGATCGAATACAGGCATACCGGATGTAATATCAAGCAACCATTCAGACTCTTCACATCCATCAATGATGCGGCTGTCCCACTGTGGTCGACAAGCGTAACCGGGCTTGAGACAATTTCCAACAAACCCTCCTTGTCTTCTGTAACAATTGTCATCTATAGATTTACTCGCGACCACTCGAGTATTTCCGACGCAATTATGTACCTGTCACCGCTAACAGCGTTCGGCCGTCCTCGGTGGGGACAACATTTATTGGCACGGCTGCGATTTGATTAGATTCTGCGATTATAGCGTGTCGTGTCAACATCCTCTCCGCGGTCGTCACTCGACAAGTTTCGCGCAGGATTTACACAACGAAAAGCTAATATTTACGCGCTAGGTATATTTTAAATGACTATCACGTTCCCGAGTTATCTGGGAAACATTTGATAAAGTGTAAATATTGTATATTGTATTAAAACATGTACAGTTTGATTTGTCTCCGAACTTAACCTAGCCTCTCACGGCGTAAGAGGTTAACGTCGACGAGAAACGTTATTAAATCCTATCGAAATGAACAGGGAAGCTCAATGGAAGGGGCATGACGAAGCGAATGGCGATGGAAGGAGAAATGCTTGGAAAGGAAAGGTGTGGGTACATGTCGGTGGAGTGGAGGGGCAGTGGGGAATGTGTTTTGGCTGGAGGAGATGGACCAGAGAGAAAGGGAAACAGCCAACAATTGAATCAAGGAGTTGAAAGAAGGTAAGTGCTTAAGTCCAGAGCACGAATAATGTCCTGCAGCAAGGGAACGGGGCAAGAGGGGTTCTTCAATGTGTGGCAATGTGAACTTAGTGTATGTGACCGTTTCACCAATGGTACGTTAGAGTCAAGAATGTGAGGCAATTGCAGGGTTCCTTCGTTACCAGCACTCAATAGAGAGATACCTCTTTTGCCCTGGTTCCTTATCTTTGATTATTTGTGGACATGTACATTTGATCTGTTATCAGTTTATGAGGATTTTCTTCTCTTGTTTTTATTTGAAAGATTTAATTTTAAGACCATTTAATATAAGTGATGAAGTATTTGAATATTAGAAATTTTATGTACTGTAGGTAAGTAGCAAGTATTTACCTACATGTGCTATTGAGTGGAAAGAAAAATGTTCAAGTCTGATACTAATTATAATACAACTCAATCTTAGTATAATGAAGGAGAAAGGAATGACTTTAAATGTGAAACACCACTTTGAAAACAAAGAAATTGAGTAATTGTATATAAATTAATGGTAGAACTACCAGCCCTTAAACTGACTTTTGACCATTTCTTTATAAAAACTACAAATGTGAATTTATTAAGGCTTGAATTGGTTCAAATGTCAGCTTAGGTATTACTTAATTAGCTTCTTTGATGATTCCTTAAAGAGGTACTTTTCAGTAATAGCAAAAGGAAACAAGAAATGGGTCATTCTGACCCATCTGGTAGTGTTAATCATTCCAGCGTTAAAGATTAGTTGGAGCATCAGATGTAATTACTAATTCACTACTACCACTGAAAACATCAGACTTCTCAAAATCAAAATCCGACAGGCAATACTCGTACAGTCTCGTCGATGCATTGGTTAACATTGACATTTCCATTGGCAGTAAATCACGCGTAATGGAAAAGGATAGAGCAGTATCGTTAGCCATGAAGTTCGAGTCGTTTCCTACCCGTTTGTCAATGCACTGAGACTCCATGTTATTAAACGGTGTCGAACACCCTTGCATGTTGTTTGAAAAACGTTCAGTTCTCAGCAAATAAGAGGAGAAAGAACTGAAAGAGTTGGAAGGTCGCCCGCTGGAATCATTGAGATCATTTCCATTTAAATTGGAGGTAGCATTATTCTGAAACTGAACATTTTCTGTTTGAGCTTGTTCCACGCCTGTGCGATTCGACAAAGAAGCTCCTTTGAAATCATTTTTCTCATAAGTCTGGATTTTGTCAACTGTATGCTGCTTCAGCGAATTCATCCAGCTTGTTCCACACGTGGAATCCTTTGAAATGGTCCCTTCCATCCTCTTGTCCACATTAACTGTGACAACATTGCTCGTCGTTTGTTGAACTTCCATTTCGTTGTCCCTATTCGCATTTTCTATTCGAAGCTTCGCGATACGTTCCATTTGGCTAGTTATCTTCTCTGGATGGAACTCTCCTCTTTCTAGGAGTTGATACATCTCAACGACGATACGGTAACACGTGTGTTTCCATGAACTGGATTCGCCCATAATTTGATCAGCAATCTATGGAAGAAAATCAATGGAAAAGAATTAATTTATTTTAATTATTAACCAGCCTGAATACCGAATTTAAATGACTTTGAAGCCGAGATATGGCACAAAGTGGAACAAAACGAATCATGCGTACCGCTCTTTTAGAAGCATACTTCCGAGCGTTTTCCGTGAGAGATTTCGGCAAGCCGGATAATTCGGCTAAAACGATACCATAGTCATCGGCGTGAGATGCCATGCCAGACTTTAGTCGATGAGTATACAGGAACCGAGGGGGACTTCCGCTGTCCGATAAAGTTTCTTGCACACTCGTCGTTTCAAAGTAATGGCTAAAGAGAAAGCGAAAAAAAAAGAAAAATTTATTATTCAATACTAGAACTACCGTGCCAGTCAAAATGTTTAGATTTTTTTGTTTAGCAATTATTGATATCTTCGAAATGATTTTGAAAATAGTATCATTTGAGTACTATAATGAATGTCTGAAGAAACTGAAAATAATCTATTGTTACAATTTTTATGGGAATTGCATATTAATCATATTATATGCTGCTAGTTCTACTGTTAAAAATTTAACGATTGTAGGTACTCGGACTTATTACTTAGCGTACGAGTAACACAAAGATATGCATACTTGGTCACGTTGCAGTACAAGTGCGCCAGTTTCGTCAAATGCGCGAAATGCGTCGCGGCGAAGATAAAAGCGGTGGAGTCTAAAAGTCGTTCGCATATAGCCCACGCGATGGAAACACCTTCCTCGACTGCAGTCCCCTTGCACAATTCGTCCAGAATAACCAGCGAGGTGGGTGTGATGGATCGCAGAATGTACTGTGCCTCTTTCATCTGAAAAAAAGGAATGGCAATGAAAAGGAATGGCACAGGTCTGTCGTTACACGATTAACACTAGAACTACCGGACAGTCAGACTTTTTGAAATTCTTCTATGGAAACTAACAGTGCTACTGTTCACAGATTGTATATGCGACTAACTTCGAGAGCAAACGTCGAAGCATTGCATGCAATGTCGTCGCGAACGGCTATTTTGCAGAATATTAGATCCGTTATACGGAACGCCGCTCGTTTGGCTGGCACGAAGCAACCGATTTGTGCCATTATATGCAACAACACGATTTGCTTCAAGTAAGTTGATTTGCCACTCATGTTGGGTCCAGAGATTACATGGAAATTCCAAGGTACCGAGGCACTCTGCAATAAGAGGATAAAAACATAAGTCAGGAGTGTTTGAACTGGATTTTTTCTCAAAAAAAAGAAGAGAGGAGAAGGACGTACAACGTTATTTGGCACAGGATCATCGAGGCCAAAAACTTCTAAGACTGGATGTCTGGAGTCGAGTAATTCCAGCTTCGTTCCAAACGTTGGTCTGACGTACGCGTGGAGTGCACTCGCTCTCGCGAGTGAACTTAAGACGTCTAACTCTGCTACATCGGTGCTCAATTGAAAGAAACAACTGATGTGTTCACGAGCAGCTTGTAATAGGTCGCAGAGTAGTCTGTTGGCAAGTACGTTGTTTTTATTGATGCTCATTGGATGTCTCAATCATTATTGGACGAAGAATAAAATTAGTACGGTCTGCGATACCTACACGTTGCTCATTAAGTGCAATTCTTCGGACGAAATCTTACATTGTTGGCTCAACGTTGCGAGCGCGCTTGTGGTCATCATGCAGATCCGTTTGCTTTTTCGTACCTAGCCGTGAATGTGAACGTGAAGGTAGAAGTAAAAAGGGAAAGGAAAAGTGAAAGTGAAAGTGAAAGTGAAAGTGAAAGTGAAGGTGAAAGTGAAAGAAAAGTGAAAGTAAAAAGTGAAAGCAAAAGCAAAAGCAAAAGCAAAAGTAAAAGTAAAAGTAAAAGTAAAAGTAAAGGTAAAGGTAAAGGTTAAAGTAAAGGTCAAAGTAAAATTAAAAGCAAAAGTAAAAGTAAAAGTAAAGGTAAAAGTCAAAGTAAGCTTCGAAGGTCAAAGTAAAAGTAAAAGTAAAAGTAAAAGTAAAAGTAAAAGTAAAAGTAAGCTTCCAAGGTCAAAGTAAAAGTAAAAGTAAGCTTCAAAAGTCAAAGTAAAAGTAAAAGTAAAAGTAAAAGTAAAAGTAAGCTTCAAAGGTCAAAGTAAAAGTCAAAGTAAAAGTAAAAGTCAAAGTAAAGGTAAAAGTAAAATAAGGTTCAAAGTCAAAGCAAAGTGAAGGTCAAAGTAAAGTAAAAGTGCAAGTAAGAATAAAAGCGAAAGTGAAAATAAAAATAAAAGTAAGAAACATACGTTTCGCATGACAACAACTTATCGAATAATCCAAATATTTTGAAGAAACTTGGTACCTCAATAAATTCCATTGGTAACTGAAACGTTTCTGTGGTGGAGTTTCGAGGGAGAATAGCTTGGATGTGATAACCGTCGGACGCGTTACAGCCCAAGGACAAAGGTAGCTTGTGCTTGGCCGCTAAATTCTCTACCATGGCTACCGGAAAAGAGTAAAGAGTAGAAGAGAAGTAAGAAAATGATTGCACCGTAACTCATCGGAAATCGAGTCGTCTACCGACTTTTCATATCGTCGATCAGCTCGCAGTAAGTTCGTCTCGCTACGTCCAACAAGTCGTTGATGCCTGCCTTGATGGCGAAGCAGCGTTGCATGTTCGAGGACGTGTACCCCGACACGGACCTCGCGTCCGGATGTATCGTTTCGAGGATTCGCTCCTTCATCAGTCGAAACCGGGGGTTCTCCAGTCTCTGAAAAATCCACCGGTGCCTCTGTTAAGTATTTAACAAGACTTACTATTGTTACTATTTAACAAGAATCAATGTTGTTCATTACCTACGGACCAAAAAAAACAAATATTTTGCTATCATTAAGATTAAATTGAAACAAAATTATATTATATTGAAAACAAAACCCTAAGAATGGTTCAAATCTCCGAGTACAGTTTTGCTAGTCAAAGACAATCGCAGCACTGACATGCAAATAACGCGCAAAAGGTTGAACGTCTAAGAAAAGAAAGGAAAAGAGACCTTCCTGATTTTCCGAAGAAGATCGGTCTCCGCCGACGACAGCGCTGCCTCGAGTTCCGGGACAACGTCCAACATGTTCTTCAGGAGCAGCACGTAATTCAAATTCTGCTCGGCGCATTGTACGTTGTTGTCGTGGAAAACCGGCACCACCGACAACGCAGCGAGTCTGTCCGCGCCGTACAGACGGCGTAAGATTGGCTGTAGAAAAATATGGCGAGCTACAATTGGCGAGTAACAAGCAGGAAAAGAAGAGGAAAGATAAAGAGGTAAATCATGGTTGCATGGAAGGAAAGATTTTTGAACCTGAAGAAGAGTTCGCAGAGCACGGTTGGACACCAGCTCGGCGATGGCAGTTTGCCGGTCGACGATGACGCATTCCTCGCACGATGGCTGTAAGATGTTGGCGCGCAATAGTTTTCTGCCCATTGGCGTCGAACAACGGTCTAGGACACCTAGCAAGCTGACGTTCCGTTGACCGCACTGCGACTGAACTAGCTCCAAGCTTCGCGCGCTCTCCAGATCTACGGTTTCATCGAGCACATTAACCCTTAGCAAAATACGTTCATGGAAAAATTAGAAAATTGCTATGAACAGAAATCATTTCGATTCTAACAGCAGTGTTACAACGGCGTTTTTGAGACAAAAGTACTGAAAGGGTTCAGAAGATATGCTCGTGTTCCGCTTATTCGTCTAAAGTACGTATCACACCTATACTAATAGCGTTCGGCGATCCTTGGAATTCGATTCGAACCGATTTAGGAGAGTAAACGATACGCTGCGAGTATTCCACGTACTTGACCAAGGCAGCGGTCGCAGCTAACGCGTAGTACCTAAAAAATAAAAAAAAAATGAACAGCGAGGAGATATTATTCTTGCAACAGGTATTTACATATATATTTAAATTTTACACAGGTATTGCAAATGTGTATTAACACGTTGAATGCCATGGGGGTCACCGGTGACCTCCAAGCAAATTACTATACTTCACTCAATTAAACGATGACTATTCACAAACATTTCTACATTATAAATAATGCTACCCACTGCGGTGACATTCAGCTAGATCACTATGCAATAATAATAATGCAATTCAATCGAATGATTTAATATCATATTTTTTTCATTATGTACTTTACGGTACAAAATCGTGCGACATTCAACGTGTTAATGATCTCTTAAAAAGATATTTATAATTTTTTTAATAAAAGAAATCAATAAATGTGCTATTATACTTTTGTTTAACGAAGAGCTCCACAGAGGAGTATTCTGGCGCGCAAAGGGTGCGCACCCGTTCCAGTCCGACCGTGTCGTTGAAGTGAACACGAGATATCGGTGTCAGCTGTGTCTCTGGGAACTTCTCCATGATAGAGCGAGAGAGGATGTTCCTGCTCGCGACGCGTTCGCACATTGTGTCTGGCATCAGAACCTGTAGAAATCGTTTTTACTATTAGCCTCGTTTGTTGACCATTGTAGCAGTCAGGATAGAGATGTTAGGACTTACTTGAATAGGGTCGAACAAGTATAATTTGGATAAGGTATTCGTGTACGTCTGGGAGTCACTGATTTGACAGAGGATCAGGTGAGGACAGTGGACACCCATCGCGGCTATTCCTACCTCGGCTCTTGCGTCTCCACGGCCGCTTGTCATTGCTGTTTAATTATGTTACGTTGCGTTAATATTAGAACTACCCGGCAGTCAAATCTACATTTCCAAATCTGTCTGTGGGAACTGTATGAATGTAGGTATTGAGATTTTAATTGACTTGTGATTCAGTTTAGATATTAAATTAATTTCCTTAATAGGAACTCTAAGGATGCAGGTATTGAGATTTTAATTGATTTATGACTCAGTTTGGGTATTACTAAATCAATTTCTTTAGTAGAAACCCTAATACAGGTATTGAGATTTTAATTGATTTATGACTCAGTTTGGGTATTATTAAATCAATTTCTGTAGTAGAAACTCTAATGCAGGTATTGAGATTTTAATTGGCTTATCATTTAGTTTGGGTATTACTAAATTAGTTTCTTTAGTAGGAACTCTAATACAGGTATTGAGATTTTAATTGATTTATGACTCAGTTTGGGTATTACTAAATTAGTTTCTTTAGTAGGGACTCTAATGCAGGTATTGAGATTTTAATTGATTTATGACTCAGTTTGGGTACTACTAAATCAATTTCTTTAATAATTCAGAGAAGCATCTGTTATCTTTTCAATAATTGAGAATAACTTAGGAAAGGTCAATTTACCCCATCTGGTAGTTCTAGTATTAAACAACGTATTACCTTGCACACAACGGTCATTGGAGACTCATCAAAATCGATGCAACATCTAATATCCCATACTTACCGACGATGACGCCTCTGGACTCAGGCACGCTCGAGCCCACTGCTGTGGTACTCTTCGTGGTAGACCTGTTAAGCCAGCAATAGAAACATAATTTCTGTTAATTGAAATTCTACTTGCTTTTCAAATTTTTCCAAATATGCGATGCTGGTAACGAACGTGTTAAATTGGTCTAGAAATCTTCATCGCGATTCTTACTCGTCATTCCACTCGTCATTAAACCAGCGTTTCCCAACGTGGGACCAATTTGATTTTTAAGTGGGGCAATTTGAAATTTGAAATATCACTTCATATATTTCACAATATTTACGCACGTAAACAAAATAATAAAAATATTATAATATTAACACTAGAATTACCATACCAGTCAAAATGACCGGTTCCGATTTGTTCGTTTCGCAATTGTTAATACCTTAAAAGCATTGAATATTCGAAATAATTTTGAGTACTATAATAAATGTTTGAAGAAATTGAAAATAATCTATTGTTACAATTTTGATGGGAATTGCATATTAATCGTAATAAATTCTCGGTAGTTCTAGTATTAATTAGAAATAAGACTCACCTTGGGACATAATTGCGCGAAGAACCAGGCAACGCAGAAGACGACAACGAAGTTCGAGTTCTAGCCGCGTTTCGTCGTTGATCCGTGCGTTTCGAGCAGTTCGAACTCACCGATTTCCATTTCGTCGTTAATCCAAAGTTCGCGTTCGACGTCGGACCTGAAGAGACATTTCTTTTACAGGCTGATTCCCATTATACTCACGATGAATTTTATTCGCCTGGAAATCAGAAATCAATACGAACGACAATTTGGCAAGAAAGGCACGTTGAATTCTCTTGGTCTAGCCTCGTTCCTGCTTCTCTCTTTCGGTGGTGGAAACAATTTATCCGTTTGCATAACATTCATACTTCACCAATAATTAATCTACACAACAATCACGACTAAAACAATCAACGAACAACGTCGATTATCAACACAAGCTACGTTTGACGTTGGAAAGACGAACTCAGATCGAACAGTCGTTTTGGCGGGACTCCGAGCAGCGCCATCTTCCCAACGGTCACCCGAGTTCAAACGAAATGGCGGGAACGTTGGGTCGTCCGTGCATAAGATTCCGGTTTAAATTGGTAATATAGAAGATTTATTTACAAATTCGATATATGTCCTCGCAGTGCAGGTAATATTGAATTATTTTAGTTATTGGACGCGCGATACATTCAATAAATAACATTATCATGGATATTACGAACGTGAAATAAATATCGTTTAAATCGTCGGCTGTTACTTCTCGCATTCGTTTTGTTTTGTACACGTAATACACGTTTGCACGCTGCTAAACAGATACAGTCATATCAGACCAGACACACGCGACGCGCACACTCCCATGCAAGCGAAGAAAAAAGAATTAGAGGCGAATCAAAAGCACGCGCTACACACGCGGACGCGCGCCGTTTATATTCCGGAAAATTGATTGTCAGGCTACAGCACGCCTCACATGACTACAATTTTCTCGTTCGCCGAACACGTACGGACTACACGCGGTCTTACATACGTTATTCGAATGAAAGGAAAGCGATTCGTAATACTTCATTACCGAGGAAAGGAACGAACATCTCTTTTTTGAAAGAAAAGAAAAGAAAAGAAAAGAAAAGAAGAGAAAAGAAAAGAAAAGAAAAATTCGAGCTCTGTAAATCGCGACACGATCACCGAGTATTCCTAAGATATTGCTCAATACCAGAGCAGCGTTTTGGATGCTTTCGAAGAATCCTTCGAATCTCCGATCGATTAGTAAAAAATATGTCGTTATCGGTTCGCTGTAATGACGCGAACGAATAAAAAGTTATATACACAAAAAATTGCACACGATCACATTTCACAAGTACGATGCATCATTGCTATATATGTATATGTAATATGTATATATGTATATGTATATGCGTATTCGTTTATAATTGACGCGTTCAGATGTAAATGCTTGGCGAGAAAGAGAGATGGGCAAAGTAAACGGTACGAGACAGAAAGTAGAAAGTACAAGATAAAAGACAGGAGAAATGCTGGGCAAGTGGATGAACCCGCGTTCAAAGTCCTCGAGGCTCGCCGGGCTAACACTGGAACTGCCAAGTCAGTCTTGACTGTTGAGTCGAGACTTCCCAAAATCCATAGAAACCACAAGAATTTATCTACTGATACTCCCATCAGAACTTAGTCTATGTACTAAAACAATTCCTTTAGAAATCCCTCAGAGGATCCACTGCTTCCTCAATAATCTTAACCCTTTGCACTCCGTAGGCCTCTCAGTCAATTAATTTGACACAGCAAAATTATAGAGTTTGACATTTGAAATATTCAAATAAAACAGCCTCTTCCTTTAACCCTTTGCACTCTGCAGGCTCCAATATTGCACCAGTTATATTAAATATTTTAATGAATCAAAGAAACTACTCTAAAATTATTAGATTTTCCATACATCCAAATTTTGTACTGAATAGAAATAAAAGATTGAAGAAATATTATGGAGATACTATAAAAATTAGTTGCAGTTGCTGATAGATTTCAAAACCACCTGGAGTGCTAAGGGTTAATTCATGTACGATTTCTCGTTAACCCACTATGGGCCGAATTTTTGTTCATAACTATAACAAAATCTATGCAGTACAAAATTAATAAATATCCACATATAAATACAAATTAACAATGTATTCAATACTTTCAATAACTTTCACGCCTGAGTGTATGAAAATTAACTGATTACTTAATTCTATTCACCACTTTCAGTGCAGAATGAAATAAATCAACAAGCCAATACACTGATACGTGACTTCAAAGTTACATGGGCCCACAGAGGGTTAACTGTTTAAACATCAAGGTTTACAGTTCTGCTGTAAATCATTTGGCGACTCGCGCCTCTGGAATGCAAAGGGTTAATTCTTCACATGAATAAGAACTCACTCTGGTACTCGACGATGAAAAACATTCAACACTTCGAATGCAGAATGAAATAAATCAACAAACCAATATACTAATACGTAACTTAAGTTACATGTGCCTACGAGGGTTAACTCAGTTTGAATGTTATTCCATTAAAAAATCCTGAGTATTCCCAACGAGAACCTCCCACAGTGCAAAGGGTCAGAGTTCAGGAAAGTTCCAGTGTTAACTGTATCCCGACTTCGTTCACAGCTGAGGACTGCGTGGCAGTCAGACGTGACTCTCGAGAGGGACCTTGAACACTTTGGAGGCAACGCTGGTGTCCGGCAGCGACTGCGGTCTGGCGTTGGTGGCGACGTTGAAGACGACGTTGCTGGGCCCGCGGAAGCTGACCTCGATGAGGAAGCTGGCGTCGGTGAGGGCGCCTATGCGGCCGGTGCTCAGATCCGGGGAGCTCGTCCTCAGCTGACACTTCTTCGGCCGGTACTCGTTCCTCACGACCTTCTCGGCCTCCGCTTGCAGCTTGTTGTCCAGCCAGTGCACCTTGTCGAAGTCCTTGGTGCCGCCGACCGTGTGCCTCCGCTTCAGCGACCGCTCCGGCATGCCGTTCTTCCGCTTCAGCTTCGTCGCGCTGTCCTTCCTGACGGACTGCCGCCTCTTGCTGATGTTGCACTCGGTCTTCTCGGTCTTCGTCAGCGACTCCGACCGCTTCAGCTTGCTGTTCGGCGAGTCGGACCTCTCCGAGTGCTTGTTCAAGCTCTCCGACCGCTTCAGCTTCCCGCTGGTCGGCGACGACAGTCTCTCCGCGGAGTGCTTGTTCAGGCTCTCGGATCTCTTCAGTTTCGAGCAAGTGTTCTCTGTTCGTTTGTTCAAGGACTCCGACCTCTTCAGTCGCGACCTGACCTCCAGATTCGTCGTCAGGCTTTCGAACCTCTCCAGCTTGTTCGTGTACGTCGGGTCGACGAGGTCGTAGTCGAAGTACTTCCCGTTGTCCGGCATCGCCTTGTCGTTCTCCACCGGCGCGCCGGCGTCCTTCTGCGTGGACAGTCTACAGCACTCCTGCGCCTCGTTTGACTCCAGACCCGCGTCGACCAGGCACGCTTCCTTGCAGCGCAGCTGGTCCTTCGACTCGATCCTTCGTCGCGCTATGGCGCTTCTGTCGTTGTCCGGGATGTCCGTCTCGACGAGTCGCTCCACGTTGCAGTTGGCCGCTACTGAACAATCCGTGTCCTTCTCCGGGATATCCTGCGGATAAGAAATGACCTGATGAGATTATGAGAAGTGTTTTCTAGGGTTTTTCTGATATGCTCCACCTGAGGCTTCTTAACACTTAGGCGACTGTATAAAAAGAACTATAACTACAACCTTCTCTATTATCTTCAATTATACTGATTCAATTGATTCGATTAGAAAATATGTTTTGTACAAACACTAGAACTACCAAGCATTTAGACTCTTAAATTTCTTTGTAAAATACTTCTCTATTAATTGAGATTTCAATTGCCTTGTATTTCAGTCTAGGTATCACTAAATATAGCGTTAACCCTTTGAACTCTGTAGGCTCCAATATTGCAGGAATAATATTAGATATCTGAATGAATCTCAAAGAAACTACCCCACAATTATTCAATTTCTCACACATCCAAATTTTGCACTAAGGAAAATAAAAGATCTAAGAAATGTTATAGCATTCATTTTCACTAGAGATAGTATAAAAATTAGTTGCAGTTGCTAGATTACAAAACCATCTGGAGTGCTAAGAGTTAAGTCTATCTCAGCCACTCTGGGACCATCACCAGGAACAAACAGCTACCAGAAAAATTAATTGTAGAACCATCAATTCTAGAATTAATTTTCCCTTTATTATTTCTATACTCCAGAATTAATTTTCACTTCTAAGCCACAGGTTCACTTCAACGCACTGTACATTTCCTCCACTTCCAGCTTACAGTAACATCCACTTACATTCTTCTGGCGAACGTGCTGATGTTTCTGAAGGGCAGACTTGTGAAGACTAGGGTCTCGATAGGTCTCTATCAAGCTGGGATCCACCGGTTGCACGGGCATCGAGAGTTTCCTCTCGTCCCTCTCCTCCCTTGCGCCGTGCATCTGTCTCAATATCTGCGGGGAGTCCCGGCCCCGTTCCTTCTCTTTCTCCTTGTCCCTTTCCCTTTCTCTTTCTCGCGCGCCGACGATGTCCTCGTCGCTGACGGACGCGTTCTCCGGCGCGGAGCCGCGGATACCGTGGCCGGACGAGTTCACCAGGGACTTCCATTTGCGGTCGAACGTCGTCGTCAAGCTGGTCAACAGGTCGCTACCTGCAAACGTAATCGTTTAGTTAGCGCCGACGGTTACCGGGTCGCTCAAGGACAAGTATCACGCGAAATCATTTGTACACGTTGGAAGCAAACGGTCCAACAAAAGGCGCGCAAAGCGTTGTTGTTGTTTTGCGATAATAGTGGTGATGATTGTGGTGATGGTAGTGGTAGTGATGGCAGTGCTTGCTGCTGCTGCTGTTGCTGTTACTGCTGTTGCTGCTATTGCTGCTATTGCTGCCTCTGCTGCCGCCG